TTCTGGGTTTCATTAATTCTTGCTTCCTTTTTCTTTCACTGTTTTCATTTACTCAGATGACACTGCTTCAAGTTGACCTGCTGGGGCCAGGAGTAAACATACACACACTATACTTACATAAATGTGTGTGTGTGCGTGTGCGTGTGTGAGCGTGTCTGTGTGTGAGCGTGTGTGTGTCTGCATGTATATGTGTCACCAACTTAGTCACCAACGATTCAATAACTAGGCCTACCAGATCTCACTTGTTTACCTTATTTCTTGAATATATATATATTATATATTATATATATATATATATATATATATATATATATATATATATATATATACACACACACACACACACACACACACACACACACACACATATGCATGTATGCATGTATGTATGTATGTATGTATATATGTAAGTATATATGTATGTATGTATATGTTGAACAAATGCAGTCCTAGCATTACACATTACAATTTGTTCAAGTTCACAGTATCTTTTTAAGCTTATTTCTCTCAAAAGGAAGGCAATTGTATCGGATATCACCTGTAAATAACCAGCCCTTAACAGAAATCTTCAACTCAGGTAAAGTCTACAATTAATTTCCATCAAATTCTAGATATCATTGTAAATACAAGTGTCAGATATCAACTAGTTTCAAAAACAGAATGTTGTAATCAAATTCCATTTCTGAACCATTTTCTCAAATTCAAATAAAATTAGCTGCACTATATCAAAGAGGTTGTATCAATGACTAGACTATCCATGATAAATACATGACATTTTGCATTAACTCATTGGTACAAAGTACATAAACTGTCCACTGCAGTTTTGATTTATTAACTTGATTTACAAAGAGATAGTTAAATGAGCACTTAGTCACTGACAAGTGCATAAGCCTACAGATCTTGCCTGTTTGCCTTATTTCTTTAATTTTTTGGAAAAGATTTTTACGTTTATTACTTTTATTGTTGTAACCACTCTTATTTTCATTATCATCATTATCAATATCATTATCATGTTATAAAGAATGGTAATACTGATTACCTTTTTTGTATTCTATTTTTTTATTTATTAATTTAAAGACTGGGGTACATTTGTTAAAGTGACTCCTTGGTGACAAAGTGCTTCTGGAGCCATTTACATGTAAATAGATTTAATTAAAAATAAATAAATAAATAAACAAAACTAGTATTCCCAGCATCAAAGTATTAAGAAGAAAAAACAAATAAAACAAATTGCAGCCCTTTAAAAGCATCCATGAAGTTCCTTACCATGATATTTCCAAACTTATTTTATGTTAACATAAAGGAGGAGGAGGAGGAGGAAAAAGAAGCTAAAGGAGAACAAAGAGAAAATGAAAATAAAGATAAAGAAGCAAAAGAAGCAAAAGAGGAAGATGATACAATAAACAAGACAAAGGGAAAAAGGAAAGAAACAAAAGAAAAGAAGGAAGATATGTAAAAATTAAACCATAATAAATAAAAAAGAGAAATCTAGATGGCAGATGGTAACAGAAAGCAAAGGAAAATAAATTAATGATCTTTACTCCTAATGCAGCATGGTTTTCTTTTCATCTCAGGTGAGTTTATGTTTTGTGACATCATTCAGAAAAATATTCTATATTTCATATTCTTTGCATCTATATGTTGAAAAATTAGAGCAACAGAAATACAGAAAAAAATAAACCCAAACTGAATTAAAAAAAACACATATATTTACTATTTACTTCAGGCACTAATGGAGAATCTTATCCTATATATGACATTTCAACAATATATATATTATTCTTTGATGTAATCTGGCAACTGACTGGCAGCGCATCGGAACCCTAAGTTGCCTGCTGAACTGTCAGGCGTATTCTGACTCCGAGCTGCACAACGGTACCTGAAAAGAGGTCATTGGATGAATAAAAACTGTCCGACTATTATGAGCCTTGACTTTCAGTTACTTGGAATAAACTTTTGGCAATACAACATAATATTTACCTTGGGTATGATGCATTATGAACAAATAAATTGATGAACTTTTTCTCTTTAAAGAATTAGTTATAACAACTACCCCGAATCTCTATTTTTTATACTCAATTCTTATTGAGAAGTAATTCATGAAAACATAGTCAACCTCACAAAAAAACATAGAAAAGAAAAGAATAGTTCAATCTATATTTAATGTTCAGTTGCTTTGCCTAAAATAACTTATTCAAATGTAGTAAATATATTCTCTTTAACTCACCTGTAACAATATTCCTTTGTGCACATGTAAGAGCCCCCTTTCTTCACTTTGTCTTCTCCTGACTTGGGTCCTCGCTGTAAAAGAGAGAATGATTATGTCAACTATTTCTTCACTCAGTATATAAATTGCTAATTCATATACAACCCATAACCCTTAAAAAAAAAAGAAAAAAAAAATCCACTATATCAACTGCCTATATTTCAAATTAACTACATGAAATAAAATCTTACTCATCTGTCTTACAGGTAGTGATACCAAAGTATGATATAAAAT